GGGTATGGTTCAGATCTCTTGTTAGTATTTTATGAGTCACATAACAACAGCCTGTCACGTAAGGGGTGGAGAAACAGCCCATCACTAGTTACTAGTTAAGTCAGCTCCGACTTAAGGTGACCTCATATGTGTCACAGGTAGAATTGTGCTCCGTAGGATTTTCAGTGGCTGATTTTGGGGAAGCAGATCACCAGGCTTTTCTTCCAAGGCACTTCTGGTTATAATTGAACTCCCAACCTTTCAATGAACATCATAGCACTTAAGGGTTTGTACCACCTAAGGACTCCTGTAAGATATAAGGCAGCTCTTAATTTTAACATTTCCTCTCTGCCTTCTTATGGAGACTGTGGACAAAGGAGAGGGCTGACAAGGGCAGAAGCAGGGAGGCCAGTGTGATTTAGTCATTTATGTGGGAGGTGATGGGGTTGGGGACAGAGGAGGCAGACTAAAGAAAAGTGATGAAGAGACAGATGTTCAAGGAGGAGCCAGCGGAGTGTTCAGAATGGCTACATATGGAGGTAACAGAAAAAGTTAAAGGTATCTCAGGGTTTCTGGCCTAAGCAAGAAGGAAACTACAGTTGAGATGGAAGGAGTTCAGGAGAGGCTCGGGAGCTCATGTGTGTGTGTGATGCTGTTAGAATCCACATAGATTAGAGATCAGTGTGTCCAGAGAAATCTCGGGACTGGCGGGGGATGTAAATTCAGGAGCCCTCAGCAGGTAGCTGGTGCTTCAAGTTAGGAGTCTCCTGTGGCACTGAGTGCGACTGTGGGTAAGAAAAGATGATGAGGATGGGGTTGTGGACAGAAGGCCCCAAGGAGGCTAAGCAGCCAGATAAGTGGGAGGAGTAAGTACTAAGACACTGTGGGCTTCTGGAGACCACGAAGGTGCCTGCTTGGAGGACTGTTTGTAGTTTGAAAAGGAGCAGTGGATTTAGCAATCTAGATTATCATTGCATGACTTGGAGAAGAATGGATTTCATATAAGAATGGGAAGAGAAAACTTGCTTGACGAAGTTTTGAGAGAGAATGGTTGTTGTTGTTTAATGCCGTCGAGTCGTAGACGACTCATAGCAACCCTATGAACGAACAGACTGAGCACACACATAGAGTTTCCGGAGGCAAGCCATTTTGGAAGTGGATGCCGCTCCTGCTTCCAGGCTTGATTTAGTCGGGAAGCTCCAGCCAACACTGTCCACCATGGGTACCCATTACCACGACTGGCACATCACTGTCACAGGCTTCAGCATCACAGCAACCACGAGTTACCTCTGTACAGCAAGCCGCTGTAGCAGTAACTGATTTGTGCCAAGCTCAGCTTGCTGTTGTTGTTATGTGCTCTCTAGTTGCCCCGACTCTTGGCGACCCTGTCCCTGTACAGCACCTAGAAACCTTGTGGAGCCTGCACCATCCTCACTTCTCCTGCCTGTAAACTGGTTGTTGTAGTCTCTGTGTTACTCCACAAAGCCCAGCTGTGAATGCTAAATAAAGCTCTGAGGTGAGCTCATTGGGGAACAGGATGTTACAGAGTGATCACTCCCAAGGTTACTTCTTCGTTACAAAGGTCCTTTACAGGGTACAGTGCGGGAGATCTGGTAGGTATCCCCATCCACAAACCATCTCGCATCGTGGGCCTTTCAAAGAAGCCCCTCACATTCAGGTTGACCTCGTGGTCTCCTAGGGTAGATGATCAGCTCAAGACAATCAGTCCGTCCACATGGAAAAGCTTTCTGCCTGACCCTTGCCACGCATGGCTTCTTCAAAATGTGAGTCATGAAGGGGGGGAAGAAAAATCAGTCTGGAGACTCATTCTTCAAGGGACAAAACATCCCAGCAAGTGACATGTATGATGATCCAGAACTGGGAGATGGGGATCTACAAAGAACATTATTTAGGCAATTGGAGAAATAGAAATATTGATTCTATTTTACTGTAAACAAAACACCATGATCCAAGCCATGGGCTTCTCAGTTGCTTCTTATGCATGTGAAAGTTAGACAGTGAATAAGGATGACAGAAGAATTGGTGCCTTTGAGTTACGGAGTTGGAAAAAGAGTACTGAATAGCCCATCAACTATCTGAAGGAGAGAAATCAGAAGTCTGATTTGGAGAAAGTACAACGAGGGTGTTTCTTCAAAGCAAGGATGGTGAGACTTCGTCTCACATACTGTGGGCATTTACACACTCTTGGCATGAGCCATCAGGAAATCAAAAGACAAATTGCATTGGGAAAATCTGCAGTCAGGGACCTCTTCAGAGAACTGAGAAGCAATGATTTCAGTCTAGAGACTAAGGTGCACCTGATCCAAACCATAGTCTTCACTATGCATCAGAAAGCTGGACAATGACTAAGGATGACAGAAGAAGAATGGATGCCTTTGAGTTGTGGTGCTGGAGAAGTCTTGAACATACCATCAACCAAGAAAACAAATAGGTCTGTTTTGGAGAGGGTGAAACCAAGTTTCTCCTTGGAGGCTAGGATTTTGAAGCTCTTTCTCACATACATAGGGCATGTGGCCAGGAGGGATGACCAGTTCTTGGAGAAGGACATCAAGCTCAGAAGGGTGGAGGGACAGCTCAGGAGAGGAAGACTCCAGTTGAGATGGATTGATACAGTAACTGGGGTTATCAGATTAGGTGTGTTGGTGTCACTGAGACTGGCTCAGGACAGGGAGACTTGAGAGCTGTTGTACATAGGGTCACTGTAAGTCGGAGATGACTCGACGGCACATAACAACAATGGGCATGTTATCAGAAGGGGCCAGTCCTTGGAGAAGGTCATCATGTTGTGAAAGGTGGAGAGTCAGAGAAAGCGAGGAAGACCTTCAACAAGAGGGACTTTAACAATGGCCTGGAGCAAATCAGAGTATGAGGATGGAGCAGGGTAGAGCAACGTTCAGATCTTTGTTTGTAGGGTTGCTATGAGCCACAGTGAACTCAGTGACATCAAACAACAGCCTAAACCAAGCCAGTTACCATAAAGTCAACTCCAGTTTATGGCGACTTTTAATGTGCTGTGTTCCATACTTTTTGGAGTATAGCTGATCTTTCAGAAGTAGATCACCAGACCTTTCGTTCAGGGTGCTCGTGGATGAACTTGAACCTCATACTACTTGGTTATCAAGTGTTTTAATTATTTGAGTCACTCAAGGACTAAATTACTGTGACCGTTTATTAGGGTCTTATAGGAGACTGTTATGTCTTAATTTTTACAGGACATGTGCTGAAGTATTTGCGAAGAAGTTTCATTATTTCTGCACCAAAGAGGAGGGAGAGAGAGAGATAATACAAGGGGAAAAGCCAGATGGCCACATGTTAACAATTGAGGTATCTTAGAGACGGGTACATGGATGTCACTACCATCCTTATACTTTCTATAGGTTTGAAATATTCAACTTAGAAGTTGAGAAAAAGAAAATAAAGATTATGAAAGGTGAGAGACGGGAAGTAGAGAGCATACATGCTTATATAAAGGAGTTAATGCTGTAAAAGAAATGGGAGAAGTATAGCAGTGAGAGTTCAAGGCAGTGGTAGTTCAGTGGGAGACCTGCCCTCCATGGGGACGACTTGGGTTTGAGCCTCATCACTGCAACATGTCCATCCACCACTCGTCTGTAGTGAAGGCTTGTGTGTTGCTGTTTGGGCTTCAGTAGAGCTTCCAGACTAAAATAGAGGAGGAAGAAAAACCTGGCAAACTATTCTGAAATTCGTTGCAACGCTATGGATCACAGCATTTGGATTCACAAGTGATCTTGGGGGTGGGGAGGTGTGGCAGGCTCCTTAGGGTTTTGTTTCACTGTCCATGAAATCACCATGAGTTGGGGGGCTGACTTGCTGACAGATTAGCAACAGCAAAGCTGGAGGGTGAAGGGAGGCCGGAACACACTGGACAAGGAACGCCCTTGGGAATGTGGATGGGAGGGCAGACTGGAGGATGAGGAGTGAAGAAAAGGTTGAGCAAGCTCTTCCAATGCTCAGGGGGGATCTTGTGGACTCAGATTGAAGGAGGGAGCGTCACTTGGCTGCCCCAAGCTAGAGCAGGTGGGTGGGCAAGGCGGCCAGAGCTCCTGGACCTCCTGATGGCCTCTGGTTCCCTAGGAGTGTAGAAAGCTAATTTGTGGTTCAGAACTGAGTTTGGGGAGACCTGTGGGGACTTTGAGGGCAGGGAAGATAGGGAGGTCATCCAGGAGAATGATGACAGCACTCAGTTATATTTTTTAAATTTCACTTACTCTGGATAAATAAAAGATAATTGAAGGCGAGCTCTGGTGGCCTAGTGGCAGGAAACTGCACTACAATCCCAGAGGTGCGTGGTTCAAATCCACCAGATGCTCTGCTGAAGAAGGAGGAACAATCGCCTCAGATCCAATTTGACAGTACACACATAAAAAGAATAAATAAATAAATACAAATTATAAAAAAAAAGATGATTGAAGAAATATTTAAAAGTCTGAAGCATACTGAGAAGCCAACCAGGGGAGTAGGGGGAGGGTAAACAAGGGCCGTCCAGTGAGTCTGGGGTCAGGTCACCCAGCAGGGGATCATGGGCACAGACTCTGACCGCCTTTCGTGACTCCTTGTTTTAGGAATCCTGGTGGGGCCAGGGACTGGCCAGGCCATCGAGCTGAGGGCAGAGGGCCTGGAGTGACACTTTTGGGACTTTCCTGTTCACACTGAGCTGGCTTGGCCAAGGGACAGCCCAGTGTCCTTTCCTGGAGCCCTTCCTCCCGGCAGCTGGGAGGCAGTCTGGTTATTACTCCTTGTCTCTCCCTGCAGACTGGGCACCCCAAGGCCTGTTGTGCTTTCTCAGCCCTCCTAGATTATGACGTGTGATTGTGCACGCAGTTTATGTTTGGGAAGCGTCTGCTAGTGAGTTACTGAGCATAAGGGGCACTGTGGTCATTGGTGAGCTGGCTGATGGAGAGCAGCCCCTACAGGGGGGCAGGAGTCTTGTCTGTCCGCTGTAGTGCCCACTTGACCCGCTGCCCTGTCCTCCCCCACAGGTATGCCACCACGCCGACTGCCAGCAGCTGCACCGCCGGGGACCCCTCAACCTCTGCGAGGCCTGTGACAGCAAGTTCCACAGCGCCATGCATTACGACGGGCACGTCCGCTTCGACCTGCCGCCCCAAGGTCAGCATGGGCCCCAGCTTTGCTGCTTTGAACCCTGGACCTTCGCACAAAACCAAAGCTGGGCGCAGTGCCATTGAGCTGGTTTCAGCCCACCACTCGCCTCTGGCAGGTTTCCAAGGCTGTAGATCCTTATGGGAGGAGACTGCCCGTCTTTCTCCCTCAGAGTGACCAATGGATTTGAACTGCTGACTTCCTGATTAGCAGCCTCCACCCTACCTTGTGAACAGGCATCCTTCCCAGGGCTCCCTGTCGAGCTGACTGGGTCTATGTTGTTGTTAAGTGCCGTTGAGTCACAGGCCACTCATAGCGACCCTATGAAGAAGAGTCCTCCAATGTTTAGATGTCTCTCATCCTCTCTCCAGGTTCATGGGGTTTCTGGAGGCAAGCTATTATGGAAGTGGATGCCACTCCTCCTTCCAAACTTGTTTTAATCTGGAGCTCCACCCACACTCTGTCCGCATTGGGTAGCCAACCATTAACGCATTTGACACGTCAATGTCACAGTCTTCAGCCTCACAGCAACCACAAGTTACTGTTGTACGGCATCTTGTACACCAGGGCTATACGACCTAGAGGATTGTCTGAACAAAAACAATGAAAGACAGGCCCGAGGGCCGCAGATTAAAGAAGACTGGGTCTATAGGCACCTCTAAACCTGGGAAGCCTCCTTTTCTTCTGTCTCTGGCCTCGAGGCAGGGGACAGACCCAGCTGCTCCCTCTTCTGAGCCAGGCTCCTGGCAGAGCTCAGACAGTACAGAAGTGGGGTGGAGGGCCAGAACAAGGACACCCAAATAGGGGTGCAGCCCGAGCCGTCTGTCTGTGTGAGGTGCACCAGTCCCCTGCCTGCTTTCTCCATTGAGGAGGGGTCAGAAGGACTTACCTCCTTCTTTTTGTAGAAGGGGTAAGCTACGGCCAAGGGGACTTGGTGGTGGGGTAGAGTGTCACCTGTGTCATTTTGATTTTGGGGGGCTAGAAGATAAGCATTGACTGAGTCCCTTCTCACAGAACTCTGGGGCCCTAGTGAGTTTGAGGGAGGAATCCCAAGATTGGGTACAGGCACTGGGGCCCCTGGCCATGTTAGAAGGCTAAGGAAGAGGCCATAGAAAAGGAGGCATAACCTCTCCGCCCAATTTCCTCCTCAGGCTCTGTCCTGGCCCGGAACGTGTCCACCCGGTCATGCCCCCCACGTACCAGTCCTGTGGTGGACTTGGAGGAGGAGGATGAAGGCTCTATGGATGGCAAAGGGTAGGTGAGGGGGCAGGTGGAAAGAGCAGATACCTATGGTATAGAAGTGAGGGGATCCCAAGACTGGATCTCAGACAAGCAATATAAGGAGCAGGTGCTTTGGTGGGACGCCCCATTCCATCCCTGCAACTGCCCTGAGTCCTGGAGGAGATCACCCCAACCTTGCCAGCCTTCAGAATGTCCTGACTCCACTCCCAGAGACCACAGGATGTGACTCCTGTGTTGGCCACCAGAGGGCGCCAAGCCCTTTGGTGGACAGTAGGTGTCTGAGAAGTCCCTGAATTGCTTGATAAGCTGGGATGAGAGGTGGTGAGCTACCATGACCCTCATTCACATCCTTCCTGGAGAGGGTCCATGCTTTCCTCCTGTCCTTCTGCAGGGACCGGAAGAGCACAGGCCTGAAACTATCCAAAAAGAAAGCAAGGAGGAGACATACAGATGTAAGTGACTCCGCAGGCTGCTAAGGGGGTTCCCAGACCTCTGCCCCTTTGGGCCCTTTCCTATCCCTGAGGCTAGACCTCTCTGCTCTGAACTCCTGTATGAGCACTGGGGGCCAGGAGTGAGTGTGTGTCCCCTGCTCACCTCTCTCCCCTGCACTGTGCACTGCCCCCCCTTCACCCAGGTGAGGCACTCCAGGATCTCCTCAGGCAGGAGGGAGCAAGGGCGGGGCATAGGATGAGGGGTAACAGTGGAGAGACCAGTGGGTGTGTCCTCCCAGGACCCGAGCAAGGAGTGCTTCACCCTGAAATTCGACCTAAATGTGGATATCGAGATGGAGATCGTACCTGCCATGAAGAAGAAATCGCTGGGGTAGGGCTTAGCGGGGCTGAGAGCATGGGTGGAGGCAGGTCTCTGCAGGTGGGACCCGATCTGAAAGGTGGCTTTTCCAGGAGTGGGTCCCACATCTGTGTGCTGACTGGTGTGGTGTATACACCAGCTTGAGGGAGTCTGTGTACCTACCTGTGTCTCAGCTGTGTGTGTGTGTGACCTGGTGCCTGGGGGTGACAGCTATGTGACTGCCCTGGTGTGCAGACTGGGTAAGAGATAGGCATGTAGGTCTGTGTGTAGACACGTGCAAGAGTATATGTGAACCTTTGGGCAACGTGGAGGTGGATGTGCATGCCTGTACATTCTAACCTATATATATGTGGCCTAGGATGTGGGCGTCACTGTTCTGAGTGCGTCTGCCATGGTGTGCATGCCTGTGTCTGTGTATCTGTGTTTTCTGAGTCACGTATGTGTAAAGACATGGTGTCTGTGTGTAGACCTGTGCGACTGTGTGCGTGCACCTCTGTGACCATGTGTATGCACCTGTGTCTCTGTCCTTGTGTGTGTCTCCTTTCTCTGTCAGAAAGGCTGTGTGGAGGTGGACAGCTGGCCGGGGTTGGGGAGGAGAACGACTCGTGACTAGCCTCCTCATGTTCACACTTTCACTTCTGGTGCCAGGGAAGTGTTGCTGCCTGTATTTGAAAGGAAGGGCATTGCGCTGGGCAAAGTGGACATCTACCTGGACCAGTCCAACACGCCTCTGTCCCTCACCTTTGAGGCCTACAGGTTCGGAGGACACTACCTGCGGGTCAAAGGTGAGTGGCAGGCTGTAGGAGCAGTGTGGGCAGGTGACTGGCACCTGGCGGGGCCAGCAGAGATGGGTGCTCCCTCAAGGCTTCAGGTTGCCGTTGGCCAGGGCTTCCAGAAGCTCATTACCATACAGGTGTCTGCCAGCCAGGGCGAGGCGACAGGGGGAGGGCGGCCACGCTCTGGTTTGGCTTCTCAGGAGAGCCAGGTTGGGGCCCAGTGTCCCTCTACAATTGGTCCTGAAGACTTCTGCTTGTCCCCGTACACCATGCAGCCAAGCCCGGGGATGAAATCAAGGTGGAGCAGGGAGTGAAAGACTCCAAGTCTCTGAGTCTGCCGATCTTGCGACCAGCGGGAGCTGGGGCCCCTACCCCAGAGCGAGGGGACCCCCAGAGCCGCCGGGAGAGCCTCGACATCCTGGTGAGGAGGAGGAGCTGTGGCACTGTGAGGCTGGAGAGGGCCATGGGCTCTAACAGAGTCAAGCCCTCCTTCCAGGGGACCTGCCCCCTCTCGAGGGGGCATTTCTTTTTCTGGAACATGGGACTGGCTTGGTGGGGGCCCCCTCTGGATCTTGATCACACCAGGGTGGTGGGGCTTGTCTCTGGGAGTGTGTGTGTGTGTGTGTGAGAGAGAGAGAGGTTTTCTGCTCAGGGATTCTGTTACTGACTGTGTGTACATGTGTTCCTGGGACACCATGGGAGCTGTGTTAGTGAGTGCATCTGCGTGTCTAACTGTGTTTCTCTACACCCTGTGTGTACTTGCGGCTGAGTGGCTAGGGAATGGTGGTCTGGACCTTCCAGTCCCCAGAGCATGATGGGTTCCAGGAAAGGTGACATCCCAGGGTGGGGGAGCAGAGACCAACAGGCTGACCTGTGACCCTGGAGAGACTCACCATTATTGAGGTTTGCGGGCCAAGACACACTGGTCATGATGTCCGTCCCCCCCTCCCCGCCCAGGCCCCTGGTCGCCGCCGCAAGAACATGTTGGAGTTCTTAGGGGAGGCGAGCATCCCTGGGCAGGAGCCCCCCGCCCCCTCCAGCTGCTCTCTGCCCAGCGGTGGCAGTGGTGGTCCCAGCAGTGCCGGTGGTGACAGTTGGAAGAACCGGGCAGCCAGCCGCTTCAGTGGCTTCTTCAGCTCAGGCCCCAGCACCAGCGCATTTGGCCGGGTAAGTGACCTCGGGAATCCTGGGGCAGGGTTAGCTGTCTGGTCTGTCAGGTGGCCGTCTGGACGCTGACGTTGACCTTGCAGGAGGTGGACAAGATGGAGCAACTGGAGGGGAAGCTGCACTCCTACAGCCTCTTCGGGCTGCCCCGGCTGCCCCGGAGACTGCGCTTCGACCATGACTCGTGGGAGGAGGAGGAGGAGGAGGATGAAGATGAGGACAGTGCCTGCCTACGGCTGGAGGACAGCTGGAGGGAGCTCATTGATGGGCATGAGGTGGGTGGGTGCAGCCCCAGGCCTGGCAGCCCTCTCCTCAACCCCCACCCCTCAGAGGCCTGGCAGCCCTCTCCTTAACCCCCACCCCTCAGAGCCCCAGTGAGAGCTCATGGACAGGCTGTTCCATGAGACCCACCTGGGGCAGCTGTTGGTGTTAACACCCTGTGGGAAAACAGGTCCTTGTGTTGCTGGGCAGTTTCAGCAGCCCAAGAAACTGGATATCTTGACTCCAAGGCTCCAAGGCCACTCACTGGCCTGCCTGATGCACTTTGAGGTTCCTGGCTGACCCTCCCTTCCCCTCCTTCAGAAGCTGACCCGTCGGCAGTGCCACCAGCAGGAGGCAGTGTGGGAACTCCTGCACACAGAGGCCTCTTATATCAAGAAACTTCGAGTGATCACCAACGTGAGTGTGGCCTGTGGCGACCCCACTCGCCTCTGTCCCTTGTCTGTCACTCATGACCTCTTCCTGGGTGGTACCTGAGCTGGCCTTTTACAGAAGGGCAGGTGGTGTGCAGCAAAACAGACAGGAAAGTTATAGATGGACCATACCCTTGGAAGCAGGGTCCCGCCCCAGGCTGGGAACTTGGAAGAGCACGTTGCGTAGAGCTGAATTTACGCAGACCAGGCCTCACCTTCCTTGTTCAGAACCGTTACTGAACACCTGCCTTTGCCAGGTGCCCACAGCCCACACACTAGACAGACTTGACAAACACCGAAAGGTTCAGGTGTGGGCGCTTAGATGGAGCGGTGTCCCCACCCTGGGTTTGGGAGTTCAAGGAAGACTTCCTGCAGGAAGCACTCCAGAGCCCAACCCCCCAAGATGAGAGGTGGAGGAGGGGCCCAGGAAGCTGCAAGGTCTTTTGCGCCCAGACTCTCCCTCTGGTGGTGTCCAGCCAGGCAGGGTGCCCCTAGGTGGAACTTTGGGGCGAGCCCTTTCTTGAGAACTGGCGCCTTCCCTGTGCACTCCTGGTGCGAACCCAAAGGGTAAACCCTCCTTCTGTGTCCCTGGCTGCCTGGTCTTCCTCAGAGGGGGAACAAGTGAGAGTTCTGAGTCTGGGTGGGTTTTGGGGGGACTCCCCGCCTTGAGCTGCAGCGCCTTCTACACTCACAGCTATTCCTGTGCTCCCTCCTGAACCTGCAAGAATCCGGGCTGCTGTGTGAGGTGCGATGGGGACTGACAGCCGGGAGGTGTACGAGGATGTGGGGGTGGGGGGGGGAGGGGCGGGGCATTGCCAGAAGGAAGCGGGCCTGATACCGAGGGGGATGGGGAAGGGCTGATGATAGGGTGGCACACGGCCAAGCCGAGGGTGAGGGGCCGAGGGGCAGGTCGAGCTGACCTGCTGTCCCGCGCAGGTGGAGGCGGAGCGCCTGTTCAGCAACATCCCAGAGATCGCGCGTCTGCATCGCGGGCTGTGGGGCAGCGTGATGGCACCGGTGCTGGAGAAGGCGCGGCGCACGCGGGCGCTGCTGCAGCCCGGGGACTTCCTCAAGGGTTTTAAGATGGTATGGGGCAGGGCTGGGCACAGAGGTACACTGAGGCAGGGCTGGGCGCCACTGCAGCCAGGGGAAAGCTAGGTGTCCAAGCGCAGCGGATTCCGTCTTCACACACACTCCCAGCCCCACCTTCTTCAGTGGTCCCGTACGACCCCTAGTGGCCAAGGGCAAGATTACAAGTCTGTTGTTCGTCCTTGACACCACCACCCCCACCCCCCACCCCCGCCTGGTCATGGACAACGACCTGCCAAGTGTAGGGTGATCTTGTTGATAAGGCTCAGATATCTTATCTGGATACAGGGACTCATAAACTTACCCACTCCAGGGGTGGTTGCGAAAATGCGGTGGCAAAAGGGCTTTTGAGAAGCGTCCTGTGCCAGGTCAGCTGCAGGGAGCACACAGTAATAGAGCATCGGTTCTTCTCCCTTCCTGGGCTAGTTCGGCTCGCTCTTCAAGCCCTACATCCGATACTGCATGGAGGAGGAGGGCTGCATGGAGTACATGCGTGGCCTGCTGCGTGACAACGACCTCTTCCGGGCATATGTCACGGTGAGGGGACCTGGGGCTAGGTGGCCTGGGCTGCTGGTGCCAAGGTAGCTGTTGAGGGTGTGATCTGGGGCCTGAGGATGGGGCTGTGTGGGGTGCAAGCCTGCCTGAGCTCCACCCCTGTACCCTGCCTCAGTGGGCCGAGAAGCACCAGCAGTGCCAGCGACTGAAGCTGAGTGACATGCTGGCCAAGCCCCACCAGCGGCTCACCAAGTACCCACTGCTGCTCAAGTCGGTGCTGAGGAAGACGGATGAGCCGCGTGCCAAGGAAGCCATCGTTACCATGGTAACCAGGCTGGTGGCGTGGAACAGGGGGAAGGGTACAGCGGAGCAAAGACCCACCCTGGACCCCTCCGGGACCCTGAGTCCGAACCCCCTCATCTACCCCCAGATCAGCTCGGTGGAGCGTTTCATCCACCACGTGAATGCGTCCATGCGACAGCGACAGGAACAGCAGCGGCTGGCGGCGGTGGTGAGCCGCATTGACACCTACGACGTGGTGGAGAGCAGCAGCGATGAAGTGGACAAGGTAGGTGCTTGTGTCTGCAAAAGGGGGTGCCCCCAGGGCTTCCTGGGAGGAGAAAGAAGGGCAGATTTGCAGACAGGCTACACTGGTGGCATTATTTGAGGACTCTCAGCTGAAATGGGGTATCGAATGCCTGAGCGACTACCCCTATAACTATCTACCCGCCCCACACACTAGCTCCTGAAGGAATTTCTGCAACTGGACTTGACTGTACCCATCCCTGGGGCCTCCCCAGAAGAGACGCGGCAACTCCTGTTGGAGGGGAGCCTGAGAATGAAGGAGGGGAAGGACAGCAAGGTGACTCCAGGGTTCTGCCCTCTCCCACCTCACTCTCTTTTGCTCAGTATGGGTTTAGATTACACTTCCTAGGGACCCTGCACCCACAGATAGTTCTCAGCTACCAAGTCAACAGGCAATAATTCAAACCCCAGTGACTAGGTGGTCATTAGAGATTCAGGTTTTGCTTCTAGTTTAAAGCCTAGAGACCCCTGGTGGCTTATGTAAGGAGTTGTGCTGCCAACCCAAAGGCATGCAGTTTGAATCCACCTTATGCTCTGAGGGAGAAAGACAGTCTCCTCCCATATGAGTACACTGTCTGAAAACTCACTGGAGGATCAGCTATGAGTTTCTTTGGACTTGATACATAACAACAGTATAAAACTTACCATTGAAAACCGTGTCACCACAGGGTTACCATGAGTTGTAGGTAGTCAACTCAACTCACTAGCAAGTGGTTTTACTCTTTATGCACAGGGAATCCCTGGGTGGTACCGTTAAGTGTTCGTCTGCTGGCTGAAAAGTTAATGGTATGAACACATCCGGAGGCACCTCAGAGAAAAGGCCTGGCGATTTGCTTCCAAAAAGTCACAGCCTTGACAATTCTGTGGAGCCTCCAGCATAGGCGGTTGACATCAGAATTGGCTTCTGGGCATCTGACATTAGCTATGTTCAGAATTTGCATGATCACAGATAGTCCAGGAGGGGCCTGGCCTGCTGACCGGCCAGTGCCACTGGGGTCCTGGGTGGGCGAGAAGCCAAGCACAACCTTGCTGGTTTTTTTTAGTCATCCTGCAAATTGTCACTTTAAAATCGCTTCCCGTTTCTTCCTCTTTTTTAACTTTAAAAAAATGTTATCGTGGTAAGGTGTATTGTTGTTGTGTCCTGTTGAGTTGGGACCAACCCGTAGCCGACCCTCCCATGGGTTCGCAGAGGCAGTAAGTTGCACAGGACGAGATTGCCCATCTTCTGTGGAGCAGCTGGTGGATTCAAATTGTGCACTTTGCATTGACAACATAATTCCTTACCACGAAGCCACCAGAGCTCTCTGTGTATGTAGAACATTTTATCCATTCTAATATGTAATTGGACAGCATTACTCATTACTCACACTCGTTGGCAGCCATCGTTACTATTTCTTCTAAAACTTTGTCACTCAAGCATTAAATGAGAATGCCCCGTTTTACCTTCTCTTTTTTAAAAAAAAGGTCTAATCATGTTTTCTGTGAAGGTTTACACAACCTATTGGACTCCTACTCAGTAGTGTCTATACACGTTTTACAGTGAGGGTGGTTCCCTTGTCATCATAACCATTATTTGGGTGGTTCGTCTCCCCCTTTGCTTTTTTCATTTTTTAGCCAAACAAGTGAAAAAGGTTTATGAGGACAATAAGACAGAGATTTATTAAGATAATAAAACAGAGGTATAAGTAGTGAAAGGTGAGCCGTGCAAAAGAGTTAAAATGAAAAAGAAAGAAAAGGAAGGAGAGAGGACCCCTGATCATTTGGGTGAACCCAAATCTCACAGCGTGCTGTCAGCAGGAAAGGAGAAAAAGAAGGCCCCACCCCACCCCCGCCTCTCTTTCCTCCCAGCCTTCACTTTTAGTGTAAACTTTTTTTTTTCCATCTGCATTTTAGTGTAAACTTTTTTATGTTGCAAATTGTTTGATTTCTCATTGTTCCTCTCATGTACAAGTCAAGGAGTTGGTTCTGTTTATTGTGTTGTTTAGCCGTTAACGTTCATGTCCACGTGATTCCAACTTCTTTTATCAAGTGTAAGCTTTTAATTGAGATAAATGACAAGCGAATAGTTCCATGAAGGAACATCACCTTCATTTCCTTTTTTTCCTTTTTGTTACTTACTGGAATTTTCAGAGAAAATTCTATGTAGGAAGATAGATACAACAAAAATAAGTTGGCCTTCTTAACCATTTCTTAGCATCCAGTTTGGGGTCTCTATTTTCATTTCACGTAAGTGTCTCTTTGGGAGGTAGGTTAGTTAGGAGGAAGTGTTTGCTAGAATTGTCTCCCCACCCCAGGAGGGTATTACTGTGGACAGATTGAGGGCCCCTGCCTGAGACCCCAGAAGCGTAGCCCTGATGCTCAAGGCCTCTACTCCCTCCCCCTAGATGGATGTGTACTGCTTCCTTTTCACGGACCTGCTCTTGGTAACGAAAGCAGTGAAGAAGGCGGAGAGGACCAAGGTCATCAGGCCGCCACTGCTGGTAGACAAGATTGTGTGTCGGGAGCTGCGGGATCCTGGTGAGGACCCTCAGTCCCCTGCTCCTAGTGAGAGGCTGGTGGGCGGAGGACTTTGGCCATGTCTGACGAAGGGCTCTCTCTCTTCAGGGTCATTCCTCCTCATCTACCTGAATGAGTTCCGTAGCGCCGTGGGGGCCTACACATTCCAGGCCAGCGGCCAGGCTTTGTGCCGCAGCTGGGTGGACGCCATTTACAATGCTCAGGTGAGGACAGAGTGGCATGCAAGGTGGGCGAGGTGGGCAGGGCGGCCTGGTGAGGGCCCACTTACAGCCCGTCTGCCCTGTGCAGAACCAGCTGCAGCAGCTGCGTGCACAGGAGCACCCAGGCAGCCAGTCGCCCCTGCAGAGCCTGGAGGAAGAGGAAGATGAGCAGGAGGAGGAGGAAGAGGAAGAAGAAGAGGAAGACGGGGAGAGCAGCACTTCGGCTGCCAGCTCCCCCACCATTCTGCGCAAAAGCAATAACAGCCTTGACTCTCAGCGTTGGTATGCCTGCCCGAGACCTCCAGCAAGTCCCAGCAGAGCAGGCCTTCCACCCTCATACTCCCAAGACTCCCAGTGTCTCCTTCCTCTAAAGGGCTTCATGTTTCTAACCAGTGGGTGCGTGTGGGCGTGTGTATGTGTGGTGCGCGGGCATGCATGGAGGTAGGTGCAGTTTATCTCTGGGTAGACTCTAAGGGGATAGTGACTGGGTTTTCAAATTGAGTACCGCATCTGATCAGTTAGTGGTAGCTGCAGGCGGGCTGGGTGGAGGGTGTAGACTTTGCTGTGCTCATTATTGATGTCTGTTGTGGGCACCTGTTGCTGGGACATCTGGTACCTGTACCACAGGCTTGTTAGCATTGAGACTCAAAACCTCTGTGCGTCGACTGGCCAGGGTCTGCGCTAATCAGCCAGGCTTCCTTTGGCCAGGCTGACTCTCTCCTCCGGTCCCACAGTGCTTCGGATGGCTCCACAGAGACGCTGGCCATGGTCGTGGTAGAGCCTGGAGAGACGCTATCCTCTCCGGAGCTGGAGGGTGGTCCCTTCAGCTCCCAGTCAGACGAGATCTCCCTCAGCACCACAGCCTCCTCCATCACTCCCACCAGCGAGCTGCTGCCCCTGGGCCCAGTGGATGGCCGCTCCTGCTCCATGGACTCTGCCTACGGCACCCTGTCACCCACCTCCCTGCAGGACTTTGTGGCTCCAGCCTCTGTGTTGGAGTCAGCGCCCCGGCCCTCAGAGTTGCCTCAAGCCCCCTCACCCTCACCGTCACCCTCACCCCGTCTCCGTCGCCGCACCCCTGTTCAACTGCTGCCCCGCCTGCCCCACTTGCTCAAGTCCAAATCAGAAGGCAACCTCCTCCAGCTGCTGTCAGGGACTGCCACCTGTGGGGCGCCCCCAGCGCCCAGCCGCAGCCTGTCGGAGCTCTGCCTGGCCACTGCAACCTCCAGAACTAGGACTCAGAGCTCCTCTCAGGAAGCCAGGCCCCGCTGGGATTGCCGGGGGGCATCCAGCCCTGCCAGTGGCCCTGACCTGTCACAGCCTGATGATAGGACAAGTGGCCCCGTTCTGGAGCTCGGAGGCTCCACCCCAAAGAACAGCCAAGAGCTGCCCTCAGGGGCCTCGGTAAAGGTCCAGCCTGAGCCCCCTTCAAGCATCTCTGCCCAGCACAGGAAGCTGACCCTGGCCCAGCTCTACCGCATCAGGACCAGCCTGCTGCTCAACTCGACGCTCACTGCCTCGTGAGTGACCTGGCAGGGTTGGGGTGCAGGTGGGTCAGTGCTGGCAGTCACAGCTGGGAGCAGACAGAAGGCGGGCATGGTGATGGGCGAGGGAACCAGACACCAGCTGTCCCAGGGCCTGCCTGGGAGTAGCTCCTGGGGCGGTGGTGCAGGGGGCTTGAGGGATTCGAGAAGGAAGCGGAAGGTGACCTGGGCTCCTCTGTGAGAGTCATCAGCCCAGGAAGCACTGTCTCCCTCTCCTCTTCCACAGGGAGGTGTGAGCAGAGGAAGCTCCCCAAGGGTGCCGGTAACCGAGGGACCGCAGATAATATGCCTCGAGCAGGTGCCAGCGACTCTTCCCGCCGCTGCCTCATATTGTTCAGGGGGCTGGAGGCAGGCAAGGTCCTCGCTGGCCATCAGGGCCAATTTGCACTTTGTCCGACTGTCCGGATAGAAGTAGGGAAGATGCTGGCAGAGCCTGGGGCCCAGGCTGTAGTACCCACCCACGCACCCTCACTAACCTGGCCTGGGTCCACCCAGGCAGGGTCTTGTGGCTCCTCTTTGAGGGACCCAGCTCACCACTGTGGGCTGGGCTCCAGGGCATGCGATTCCAGCTGCCCATCACCCCTCGTTTGCCCTTCCCTTGCCCCCACAGGCCTTGGGTTGGGCCTCATGTAAAGTTGTCTATTTATTAAGCTTTTGGTTCTTTTATAAAGACTTGTATATACTCCACTGGATCCAGTGCTTTGCTTCTGGAACTCCCTTCCTGGTTCAGGTGGATTTACGCTCACCTGTGGCCCTTTTCCTGTCCTCACGTGTCCCCTTGTCTGCAGGGGGACAGGTCTCTCAGAGACAGTGGGAAGCAGCGGTGAGTGGAGGGCAGGGGAAGGCCAGGCTGATTCTCTGCGGCAGCCACAAGGTCACTCACCCTCCGAGTCTCCCCTGGTGCTTTCCAGGAGCCCTGTCATGGCTGTGCCAGGCTGTGAGTTCCCAGCTCTGCTCAAGTTTTCTAGGACACCGAAGAGGGGAGAGTAGAGGGGAGAGGCCCTTCACTCACACCCCCCACAAGAGCTCCTGGGTAGGTGGGGTTTCCAACCAAAGTCCGGTAGCCCCTTCGTGCTGTGAGTGCCAAGCTCAGAGAGGGGTGATCTTTTGTCCAAGGCCGGAGCTCAAAGCCACAGCTTCGATGACTGGAATCAGCCCAGTCCCACATGTGCCTCACCAACCTCCATAAATCCTGGAGAGACTTGCTGCAGGCGGGCGCAGGTTGGGGAGCTCCGGGGAATGGCCACGCCCCGTCCGGCCCCCACTCTGAGGCGGGCTTTCGGGGGTGCACGGGGCGGGTCCTGCTGGTGGCCTCAGCGGAGCTGGCAGGTGGAGGCTGGGGTGAGCGGGCCGGTGCGTACAGAGCATGGAGTCATGGCCCGGGCGCTGCGCTGCGGTGGCCACGGTGAGTGGGGTTCGGGGCTGGGGACAGCGGGGAGCTTTAGCGCAGCGGTGACAGAGGAAGGGGCCCTGGCGGGTGAATCGCTCCTAGCCTCACTGGGGGCTGCTCCGCACCCCTTCCCCCACCATTCGGCCTAGTTAGAAGCTCTGTCTGGGCGGGGCCCTTCCGCTAGGAGGAAACACTCTCCCAGGAGCTAGAGGGGTCTGGGGGCCCCAGGCAGAGAAGTATCAGTGCCTCCCACATCAAAATAGTGGGGGCAGGGGCAACCCCAGTCCTCTTCTGGTGAGGTAAGGGTCAGGTGCCAGGTCCTGGAAGGCGCACCAAGTTCTCTGAGAAGCCTGGTCTGTGCAGGGAAAGGAAATGAGTCCCTCCCCATGGACACCGTTTCTGTTCAGGAGCCCTAGAACAGGGCTGCTCTGATAGGAAATTCCAGGAGCTTCAAGAATGGGGGAGACTAACCAGGCGATGCCCACGTGGAGGCAGACCAGTCAGGAGTTAGTCTCCCTCCCCAGGCCCTCCTCCTGGTGCTGCAGGGAGCCCAGGGCAGCACTCCTAGCTCTGGGTGTGATTGTGCCCGAGATCCCAGGAAGAGGAATGAGCTGTTTTGTTGCAGAGGCTGCCCGGCAGGTGAGTGGTCCCTGGGATGTGGAGGGCAGGGGGTAGTTGGGGCAGGAGGGGTCAAGTAGAGAAGCAGAAAGGTGGCATGCAGCCCCAGGAAGTGGGGGTGGGGGTAGGGGTAGGATGGGGGTGGGAGGGAAGTAGGGATGAAGAGACAAGAAGGTGGGGGTGGTATAGAGCAGTCTGGGGACCCCAGGAAGCACCCTTTGTTGTCTGACCCCTGCCTGGATTCCACAGGACACTATCTGAAGGTCCCATGCACAATGCCCTGTGACGCTATCACCTGCCTTCCATGCCCACAGGGCACCTTCTTAGCCAGGGACAATCACCATGAGACCCGCTGTGCCCGCTGCCAGGACTGTGATGAGCAGGGTGAGGGGATGCCTAGTGTTTAGGGGTCAGGGAGATCAGGGGCAGGCCCAGCAGCCCCTGGAGTGCTGGGGAATGAATGAATCAATGAAGGGTGGGCACGGGGTCTTTCTGAAGGAAGCCACAACTGGGCCCACAGCTTGGGTGTATGTGCTCTGTGATCCCTGTCCCAGGTCCCTGCTCAGAGATCCTGCCTCAGGTACCTGGACGCCATCTACCTTTTTGGCCTTTGGGCTAGGCCTCTGGCCTCAGTCATGGCTGTACCTCTCCTTGCTGTGGGGTTCCCTTCTCTCTCTGGTCTGTCTTGGTCTCCAGTCTTGGGGGAATCTGCCATGGAGGTCTCTGACCACTCCGCTTTTCCTATCTCCTTGCACCCGCATCAGCCTCTCAGATTGCCCAGAGGAACTGCTCCGCAGTGGCGGACACCCACTGCGGCTGTGCCCCAGGCTGGTTCCCTGAGTGCTCCTTCAGGCTCTGCAACGCTGGCTCCCCCTTCCACTGCCGGCCATGCTTGGACTGCAAGGCCCTGCACCGCCACCCGCAAGTGTCCTGTGAGTACCGCTTAACCTCTGTCCCCAACTGTCTGTTCTGCCTCCTTCCTCATTGATCCTGACCACCCTATCTTTTGGACCAAAGGTTCTGGCAGAGACACTGACTGCGGATCTTGCCTACCTGGCTTCTACAATCATGGTGATGTCTGTGCACCCTGCCCCACGTAACTGCCTGGTTGCCCTGGACTGGGGAGGAGGGAGGCTGGAAACGGAGTGGAGGGTCACAGCTCAGGGATGAAGGGCACAGTGGAGAGAGCCTGACCCATGAATGGACCCCACTTCAGGCAAACATAGGAGTTAGAAGAAAATCTGCATTCATTCCATGCCAGATAAATAAGACGATTGTGAGCTGCATGCATTTCCAGAGGATTCACGCAGCCATATATTAAAGTTTAGATTTACGTTGCTTGTAAAGAGAATCTTATTGGCATGGGTCCAAAACCTGAGCTGAGCAAGTTACTTAACCTCTCTGCCATGTGCTTTCTCTGCTTGAGATAGGAGGCTGTTACTAGAGTCTCCATAGTGCTGTGAAGAGTAAAACACTTGATTCATTCACTCATTCCCCTAAGTACTTAATGGAACACCTTCTAGACATCACTCTTTGGGCTAAGGATGCAGCAGGGAACAAAATGGGCCAAACTGCCCCCCTGAACTTGACATTCTAATGATCCTCAGTCTGGTCTGGAAGAAGCTCAGTAAATGGTTGTTGCTATTGGTAGGCACACAGGTGATATTTCAACAGCATTTCTGGAATTTACTTAAGTGAGGTTCACAAGTGAAAGGTCTGGGGAATAGGAAAAACCTCCGGATAAAGAGCTATGAGGCAGATCTGGGTGGCCCTTGCCATATATGTCCTTCCTGTACCTCATGCTACCCACTTCCCTCACAGGAGCACCCTTGGGAGCTGTCCTGAGCCCTGTGCTGCTGTCTGTGGCTGGAGGCAGAGTATGTAGATTGCTAGGAATGGAAGTGGGAGGGCTGGGATAGGCCAAGGGGAGGTGGCTGGCGACCACCCCTCACCCACTCACTAGTTGCTCTTTCAGTGTTTTGGGTCCAGGTGCTCCTGGCAGGTCTGGTGGTCCCACTTTTGCTCGGTGCTGTGCTGACTTACATATACCGTCGTTGCCAGCTTCAAAAGCCCTCGTTTCCTGGTGAGCACATATTCCTGGGAGCCTGGGGTCAGAATGCCTATCTCAGACCTCACTCAGTCCTGACACAGGAGGGAAATTGAGGCAAGGAAAGTCTGGGGGGGGCGGAATTGGGTGGACAGGAATCTAGGATCCTTGCCTGGGAGCTGACCAGTCTTTTTGTTTGTTTTAGCAGATGAAGCTGGGAGGGAGGTCTTGAGCCCCCTGCAGGTAAGAGTCTCAGGGATGTGCTGAGAAGGTGCCAGGCAGGCACTGGGGCTTCTGCCTGTGTTATGGAGAGACTGGGCTTTATTCTAACCCTGGTGCCCAAGTGTGTGGCATGTTGGTGGCTTTTTCTTTTAAGCTACTGGAAAGCTGATCCCAATTCACAGAAACATACAGTGGGATGGACCATTGTGATTCAACCATTTGCTGATTTGTTTTTTTCTTTTTTTGAGGGGGGGAGGGGAACATAGAACACCAGGAAAGTGTTCAGCACCATAGCTATGCACAAGCCTCCATTGTCAGCCAGGCTGAGACACACGGAGTTAATGAGGGAGTGAGAGCTGAGATTCAGTAAACAAGGCCAGCTCTGCCCTCCCTCAGGGAGGCTGCAGTCACATGAGCAGAGTGAACCTCTGGTGGGATGAAGGCTATGATGAGAGACCTCGCCTAGCCTGGAGGGTGAGGTGGAGACTGCCTGGAAACTGGAGACAGAGAGAGGGTCAGTGTATCTCAGGTGGGAGGTGGCTGGCTGGGCAGAAAGCGAAGGGGATGCCTGCACTCTTGAGTGAGGACTGTGTTCACTGCTGCTCAGAAATCGCAGCAAAAAAGACTGACCCCCGACTCCCTCTTGGGGGTTCCAGGCCACGCACCCCTCATCCCTGGACAGCACCCACAGTCTTCTGGCTCCACCTGGCAGCAATGACAAGGTCTGCACTGTCCAGTTGGTAGGCAACAGCTGGAGACCTGGCTCTCCCAATTCCCAGGAAGCTATTTGCCCAGAGGCACCATGGCCCTGGGACCAGCTGCCCAACAGAGCCCTTGGTAAGTGAGCTGAGGGGTCTGAGGCCTTAGCCCCCTTTGCCTGAGTCCGAGGTGGGAAGCTGTAGTTTCCTGAGCACCATTTGCCTCCTTCCTGGTCCCTGGCAGACTTGTAGGGCTCCCTGCTCAGCCCTGCCCCCAACCCCCCGCCGCACCCCTGCGCCCCAGCTCTAGTCACGTTCCCATTGGCTCTCTCTGGCCCCGCCCCAGGCCCGCCCCTGGCGCCCGCGCTCCCGCCAGCGCCCCCTGCAGGCTCGGCAGTCGCCTTGCTCCAGCCTGGCCCGCAGCTGTACGACGTGGTGGACGCGGTGCCCGCGAGGCGCTGGAAGGAGTTCGTGCGCACCTTGGGGCTGCGCGAGGCAGAGATCGAGGCTGTGGAGGTGGAGATTGGTCGTTTCCGTGACCAGCAGTACGAGATGCTCAAGCGCTGGCGCCAACAGCAACCGGCTGGCCTGGGTGCTGTCTATGCGGCCCTGGAGCGCATGGGACTGGACGGCTGTGCAGAAGACCTGCGTAGCCGCTTACAGCGTGGCCCGTGATCTGGGTCTGTCGCATCGGGGCTCGGGGAGCCCTCGGAGAAGCCCTAAGTACAGTTACTTATGCGTGTAGACATTTTATGTCACTTATTAAGTCTCTGGCATGGCCCTGTGTAGCAGTGCATGTCAGTCCCGCCGCCTCCCCAGTTTACCCCAGAATTCCGATTAAAGGTCAGAAACGTTCACAGATGTCAAGGGAAAGGTCAGGAGGGGGTTATACCCTTCCTTGACCTCCGTGATCAAGGCCTTGATATTAAATCGCTGAAGAAAAGCAGCTGCTTGGTGTTTCCGTGAAACGGGATGTTACTGTGTGCTGAATTTGGTTTCCTGGAAGTCACTGAAAGGGCTGGGGTCATGCCACCCCAGTATCTGCGACAAGGAGCAAAGGCATATCCACAGGAAATTGCACCAATGACAAATACGGCAATTGTGGAGATGGTGCAGAGCACCGAGGGACAATTTCTAAGCCATCCCCACTTTAACGATTAGTAGATAGGGATGGTAGAGACCCTGCTCTTGTCCTGCTGTAGGTCAGTATTTGCGTCCCTGCCTTGCACTCGGTGCCTCTCTGGCATCCCCTCGAGTACTTCTGTGTCTACTGACTTGAGGAAGGGCATCAGATCTGCTAGGTTTGGTGACTTAGTAAGTGCGCTGCCAACCCAAACACTGGCAGTTCGAATCCACCAGCTCCTCTGTGATGTAAGTCATTTGAGAGGGTCGGCTATGACTCGGTTCTGACTCCACGCAATACATTTGAGGGTTGTCTTGTTTTGGGTTTTTGTTTTATTTGGGGGTTTAGGTCAAGAGTAGCTAGCTACTCAGTGGCGCCCCCTTTCAAGGGGTGCCCTGTACAGCTTACATACCTTAGCTACATTACTGCCAAAAGGGGGCTTGGAGAGCTGAATGCCTTCTAGTCACACAGCCTCCCCGTCCCACGTTCGCCTGCGTCCAGTTAACCCGAGACCCGCAAAAATTAAAGAGGAAGCGACAGGGAGTGAGAGCGCGCAGGAGGCCAGAGGCTGAGAGAGCTTTAATGGGGGGCGCGGCAGCTACTGAAGATACAGGTTCTGAACCCCTCACCCACCACTCCCTCCACTGGGGTAGTGAAAAGAGCCTGGTGGGGCAGGGGCGCAGACCTAACGGAGGGAGGCAGAAGCGGCCCGGGGGCGGTAGCCTCTGACCCACAGGCAATTTGCAGTTTTCACCGTTTCTGGTAAACAAATGACTGAGAGGAAACCCTCGGCAGAGATGGGAAATGAGACCGGGCTGGGCAGCGCAGATCTGGGTCAAAGAGGGAGGAAAGCCCCGACCCCAGCGCGGGGCCTCCGCCCAGGATGCGCCCGCTGCTCGGGTTCCGGGGTGCGGGGGAGGGGGCTGCAAGCGGCGTGCGCCCCGCAGGAAAACAAAGTCGCCACCCACGGGCGAGGAGACCTCTGCGCAATGACTTTCAGCAGATATGCAAATACATGTAAATCAGCATGCAAATAAGCAGCATCTTTTTTTGCGTCAACAGCTTGGGCACTTTTTCTGACTGGCTGAGGCGCGCAGCCCGGGCTGGGATGCGGAGAGGGGGGGGGTATCGCTGTAGGAGGGGAGGCAGCACGGTTTCTAGCGCTTCCGCCACAACCCGCAGGCTGGAGCGGGGGCTGGGGCCCCAGGGCTCCCCTGACTCTGGACAGGAGGTCGCCATGCCTAGTACTTAGCGATGTCGCCCTTCTTCAGGATGATCTGTCGCTGCCAAGGTGCCAGCTTGGTCTCGTCGTAACCCAGCGTTCTCAGCTTCTCCGACTGCTCTTTCTCCCGCCGTATCTCCTCCTGCTTCTGTCGTTCCTCCTCTTTCCTGAGGGGGGCAAGGTGGGAGGTGAGGGAAGAACCCAAGGGACATCCTTGGAGAGTGGGGTCAGGCACCAGGTCAGCAGCGGGGCTGGGTCACCAATGGGGGGTGGGCTACCAAGCGCAGAGGGGCTGAGTAAAGGTGGCAAGGCAAAGGGTGCTGGGGCAACCAAAACCAAACCCACTGGGAGGAGTAGATGTTAATTCATATGGGATTGGCTGGGGCAGGAGGGCACAGCAGCTGCTGAGTGGGAGGCCCTGGCTGGGTTACTGTGGGCAGGGGGCACAGGTGCTGGGTTATTCCGCGGGCAAGCACTTGGCTCAATGGGGGCTGAAGGAAAAGTCTTGATATTGGGGTGAGTGCGAGATGGGAGCAGGGTACTGGGGACAAGGCTGGGGACATAGGGGCCGTTATGAGGGACAGAGGCAAGTTCTTTGGGAAAAAAATGTATGGTGCCATTACTGGGAACAAAGTGTGCTGTGGCCAAAGTGACAATGGGAATTTCCTTAAGATGTGACTGGAAGAGGGGACTAAAGGACAAGCCTCTGTGACTGGGTGGGAGACGAGGAGGCAGGTCACGTGCAGCTACACACTCACCGCTTCTGCTCCCTAGAAGGAAAAAGACACAGCATCAGTTGTCACAGTCCGGACACCCTGCCAGGCCCTGCATCCCGAGGACCCCTGCTCACCTCTCCTCTTCCAGCTTCTTCCGCAGGAGGTCCCGCCTCCAGGCAGGCATGTTGGCCAGTCGGGCCTCTTCTTCCTCCTCCTGAAACACAACCACAGACCTTCAGGCCCAGCGAGGGCTGGGAAGTTGAGGGTTTGGAGAAGCTGCATCCTGCTCGAGGGGAGGGGAGCTAGGAGGAGTAGGGCTAGAGAGATCTTTATGCCTTTCAATGGGGCAAAAGGATGAAGGTGTTTGGCCACAGCCCCCTTAGAGGAGGCTTCTGAGACCAGGGCTGGTCACTTAGTGGAGGGAGTAGTAGTAGAAAGCATCAAAGCTGCCATAATCCCAAGAAAGCCTAAGTCTGATTCCATAAGAGTAGGTGGACAGATGACCTTAGGCCCAGGTCCTAGAGTCTCTGGGCAGACCCAGATGTGGCCTTCACAGCTCCTGCCAGTTCAGGTTCCAGCAGCACCCTGGTGTTGCATGAAGGACCTTCTGGCCCACACCTGTCCTCTCCCCAGATGAAGTGGGCACCAGCTCTTCAATTTAGGGGGCAGCGATGCCATGGGGTGGGATCCTCCTACACAAGCACCTGACAGCAAAGAGTTTTATTATTTGGTACAGAGAATGGATCAGCATACGTCACACAGCACACAACACTGCATACCACTCCCTTGACCTTAGGGAGGCAGCCACGAGTCACAGGGACCTCAGACCCTCATTCCAGAGGCTGCGTCTTCCACCTGGCTCCACACTGATCCCAGCAAGGTCTACAGCCAGAGGGGGACACCATGTCCCACATCTCCTGGCCAGTGCTCCACATCCTGTAATGATGAGGCCTCAAAGGCTTGGGCACGTAGAGCTTTCCAAGACCACCCACCCTCACTCTGCTCTTCTGGTCACGAAGACATCAAACAAGCATCTCAGCCCAGGGTATGGGGCTTGAGGGTAAATTCCTGGGGTTCCCCTATTCAAATGTCAAACAGCTCAGACTCTTTCTCCTTCCAAAAGGAGAAACTACGGTCAATGTAGCGGCAGATGTCTTCGTTGCTGAACTCGCCCATCTCAGACACCAGCTCCAGCGGGTCTTCCTCTAGGGTCTCAGAACTAGGAGGAGCAGAGGGTGGGGATGGCGGCGGGGCAGGAGGGGGCGGCGGCTGCGGGGCAGGGACCAGTGTCACAGGCTCCACTCCCGGCCAGTCCTCTGCCTCAGCTAAAGCAACTTCTGGTGTCAGCTCTCTCTCCCCTGCCTCTTTCTCTTCCTCCTCTTTTTCCTCCTCTTCCTGCGTCTCTTCATTCCTGGCCAGCTCAGCCTCTGAGCCATCTCCAAAGAACTGGCGCCTGATGTCCTCGAAGTCATCGTTCCAGCTGCGCCGGCCAGCTTCCACCTCCTCTAGTACCACGCGGTGGAACTGGCGGATCAGCTCCCAGGGGTGGCTACCCAACCGATCAAACATCTCGTAGCACAGCAGGTGGCGGAACTTGCGCTCCTCGCGGCTCAGGCCCATCTCCAGCAGCTGGAAATAGCCTAGCATGAAGAGGTCGAGCGTGAGGCTGTCGTAGCGCGGGGGCGCGCCGCCGCCGTCGAGGGGCGGCAGAAATTGCTCTGGCCAATACACGCCGTGCGCCAGGCCTGGGCCGCAGAGCGCGTGCGCCTTTGCCCGTCTTCGGAGCTTCCGCCAACGACCCAGCAGCTTGTCCACCACCTGCCTCTGCTTCAGGAGGTGCCGCAGCCGGCCGTCAGGGACTTCGTCCGAGGGTGGTTGGGGCGCTCTCGCGACCTCAAGATCTGCTGCGGCGCCGGCAGCCACTATGCGGGGCAACAATCTCCGTAGACGCGCCTGGGCGTGGCGCGCGGGCCGGCAGGTCCACTTGCGCCAGTGCTCCAAGAAGAGGTAGACGATGCGCTCCTTGCGCATGTCGATGTAGTCCTGGACGCCCTGCAGCTCAGTGGAGAGAGGAGGCCGGCGCACGAGCTGCTCCGGCTCTGGCAGCGCCCCCTGGCGGTCTGGCGCCGCAGACCGATCTCCAGCGCACAGGGTCTCGCCTTCGGGCAGCAAGTCATTGGAAGCGTCCATGCTGGGCTCGCCAGAGCTAGCGGTCACGTAGTACTCTTCGAGCAGGGGCTCGCGGCCCGGGGCACGGACGGATACCGAAAGTTTGCGGCGTGGAACCCGCGCGAGCGCCGAGTTCTGGGCAAGCTGCTCGTAGGTGGCGCAGAGATGTTTCACCGAGACGCCGCACTCGAGGATCTCGCGCGCCACAGCGTCGCGGCACCAGCTGAGCGAATGCGAGCGGCCCAGGCACTGCGGCCCGGGTCTCCAGGGTGCATCAGGCAGCGGCGCCAGCGGCTGGCCCGTGTCGGCGGCCAGCAACTCGGCCAGGTGCGTGGGTCGGCCGCCCAGTGTGGCCAACAGCGAGGCCATGCTCTTGAGCAGCGTGGAGATCTTGCTGCACCAGGCGGGCAAACTAGCGGCGCGGCCGTGCATGCGGCGCGGGTCGACGGTGAAGCGCGGCGCAGTCAGCGCGGCGGAGATGGGCAGCAGCTGCTCCAGCTCCAGCTCCAGCTGCTCCAGGCGCGCCTCTAGCTTCTGAGCCTTGTGCAACACCTGCAGGTTTTCTATTTGCTGCTCGATGCGAAGGATGTCAGCCTGGGTCATGAGCTCGCCGAAGGGCCCAAGGATGGCGTTGTGCGCTCGGGAGTACCTCCAGCCCTCGGGAGGGTAGCAGCATGGGCTGGCGGCTGTCAGCTAAGCGGGGAAGACAAGAGAGGGGAGGGAGGTGCGTCTCCCTCTGGCCCGGCTCCGGCTCCCGCGGGTGTCGCCGGGGGGCGCCCTTTGCATGGACCAGGTGGTGTAATGGCTCCACGGGCTGCGTTTGCTGGGATGGGCCACGCCTGGCTGGCTGGCGACTACACAGGAGCAAAGCTTCGGCCCAGGCTCTGGGCACGGTCCACTTGGGTCGCCGACAGATGGGCACAGTTGGTTGTTGGGTGCTGGTGCTGCCGCAGAGGCAGGGAGGGCGGGTGGGAAGGCATCAGGGTCTCCACGCCTGGGTTGGTCGCTCATTACACCACCGAAGGAACATGCAAAAGGCGCTGAAACTGCGACGATGCATGACAGCCCTCCCTCACCCGAGTCTTTAATGGATCCTAGCTCAAATTCCCGTGCCTCCCCATAGGTGCCCAATGAGAGGTCCTGGAGGGGCCATCCACTCCATAAAAGAGGCTAAAGTTATGGATTCAGTGGGACACACTACCAAACCCCCCTTTGCAATTAATAATACAATGAATAAAGCTAAGCTTGCCAACCACTGCTTGTGTTATTTATTCCTCACTTTTCTCTATCTAGACTTCACTCTGAAGCCTAGTTTTTCTAGCCTGGGGAGTTCCCTCCCTCCCAAGTTCATAACAGACAAACACAATGATGCCACATCACTGCTCCAGAAGAAAGTATCCTCCTTACAGGAGGCAACTGAGCTCTCTCTCCCCTAGTCCTTGAACAGGAAGGACTTCCAAACCTCTCCTCTCGTTTGCTCTACTCTCCTGGTCAACTCTTGCTCATCTTCCAAGACTCGCCTGTGACGTGAGGCTGGTCATGACCTTAACAATCAGCGTTTGACTCCCCTGTGACTCATTCCCTCACCTCACCTTTTCTTGTCTCCTTTGTGAAACTCATCACCCTCACAAGCCAGTGTGTGCCGTCCCTGTGTGTGCTTGTTGGTTGACCACTTGCAGCCACCCAGGAATCCCCAGGGCCTACGATAAATGATGTGTGGTACACAGATGGTGCTCACACGCAATGATGGTTGAAGGAATGCATGACAAACAATCCTTAACCCATTTTACAGATGAGAAAAATGAGGTGGGAGAAATCTCGGTGACTACTGGAAACAGGCAGTGCGAGGGTAACACTCAGGCTAGTCTATTGGGGATTAAAGCCCTCTTGGCTACTCGGGGTGTGGCCTCTGAACCCGCAGCAGCATCTCAACCTCACCCAGGGCTTGTGGTGAAGGGCTGTGCCTTCTCTTCAAAACAGCCTCTTGAATGGGACTTGGCATTGTAACAAGATCCCAAGCCCTCTAAGGTGCATTAAAGCTTAGTAAACACTGCCATGTCACTTCAAAGAAATTGGAGGGAGGGGTAGCATGGATTCCATGCCTCAGCCTCAGAAGTGGGTGTTTCCAAGTCTGCTTTCCTACAATGGAAATGGGAGTCTCTGGCTGAAGAATAGCCCAGAGAGAGGAGGGTTTGGAGAACTAAGACCCCAGGCCGGGTTAGGAAGCTCCACCCCACCCACCTTCCTCCTTTGCTCCTCCTCCTCTTGCATCTTCAGCTGCAGCTTGCGCACCATCACCTGACGCTTCCACTCCGGGATGGGCCGGCCCTGCTCGTCGTGCGTGGGGATGAGCGCCTCTACGTCTAGCTGCACGCCTGGCGCCGGGGTGGCGGGCGGCGCAGGGGCCAGACTGCCGTTGAGTAGCGGCTGGGGCCCGGCGGCCGGCGGGGTAGGGCTGCGGGCTCGTGAGGGCGCGGGCGACACATGCGGCAGCGGCGAGTCGGGCTGTGGGGAGAAGCGGCGGAGCTGAGCGCGCAGCAGGCGGGCCAGGACCTGGGGAGCCGGGGCGGTGCACTTGTCGGGACGCCTACCTGAGAAGCCGGCTGCCCGCTGCCAGAGAACACCGTGGTCAGCCCCTTGCTCTGCGGTGTTGGCTTCAGACTCTTGCCCGCCTTGATCTCAGCCAGCAGCTCCGAGTTGTCGCCCGTTGGGGACATCATGTTGAAAGACTTGGTGCCTGAGCAGATGCAGGAGAGAAGATCCTAATCTGGAGAGTGGACGTCTCTGCCATCCTATTCCCCCCACTTGTCTCTGCTGTCCCCTCCCCAAGCCAGGATGGGCAGGGGGCTAGGGTAGCCCTCCAGATCCCAAGCCCAGCTAGTGATCTTCGGGGCCCCATTGGTGGGTCCTCAGCTCCCGGCCCGTGACGGCCCTACTCACTCCGTGTGGGGCCCCCTCCTGAGGGCCCCTTGGAGGTCATGGTGGCTCTTGAATTAGCCCTGAGGCCTCTAACGAATATCTGTCCAGTAAACTGCCCAGCTTGAAGACACCACTCAGGACCAACCCTTCGACCTTTGTCCAGGTTTCCCCGGCTCAACCTGACCAGGGTGGAGTCTTCGCTCGGCCCTCCCTGCGTCAGCAAAGCCCATCGACCCTTGGACTGAGTCGCCAGGGGACTTTACGGCCATAGGACTCGGGAGCCTGGAGTACCAGCCTTCAGCCCGCCCCCCAAACACACACCCACAAACAGACAGGTGCAGACGCACGGCTGCAAGCTCTGAGCACACTTATGGCAAAGCGCTGTCCAGCTAGCTCTGGGGGCGCCTAGGAAAGCGGCTACCTCACTAAAGATACCGAGGGAGCCCGACAGGAAGAAGAGTCTGTGAATATGCAAATGCCCGACCTGGAGTTTGCATTTTCTGACTCCACCAGCGGAGGCGACTGAGGAGTTACTTGGCGGGGATTGTCATCTTAGCCCCTAGGAAAGGGCCGGGAGGAAGGGACGGGGGGGGGGGCGGTGAGGAACAAAACAGCCCCAGAGATCTCTGAATCTCTGGACTCAGAGACTGCAGCGTGGGAAGAGGGAAAGGTGCAGGTGGCAGCTGCGGGCGCAGAATCATTTCCTTGGCCAAACACGACCAGCAAGGCAACCTGCACATTGAATGTGCGCGCATGAGGTTGGCGTGGGTAAGAGGGTGCACCCTGCTTGCCTGCCTGCCGGCCAGCCCCTGTCCCAGCCCTTTCCGCAGGGCCCGTACCCTCGTGCCTGGCTTCTGGTCGAACCTTCCCCACCGCCCGGCGCCTCAGCCTCAGCCCCGAGCTACATGAAGCTACTACTCACTCTTCCTGTGTCTCAGGACTCTCAGTTCTAGAAGACCGAGAGGAGAGAAGCGACAGCGAAGTTAGGAGGGGGAGGAGGACGAGGAAAGCCAGGGACAGCACAGAGGGCCAAGTCCCAGGGAGAACTGGGAGCGGAGAGGAGGAGCTTTCTGACCCATCAGAGCCTGGCTGGAGTCTTTCTGGGGCTCCTGGGAGAATGTGTGTGCGTGTGTGCCCAATTCCCAGCTGAAGGCCTGCCCCGTCTCAGTCTTGGCACAATGTTAGGATAGGGAACCTAGCCCAGGCTTTGGTGGGAGGGGTGTCTGGAAAAGCCCAGAGCATTTCCCCCCTCCCCTTCTTAGCTTTGGCCTTTCTTAGATGCAGGAGGGAGGCCGTGCAGTGCGCCTTTGCTGTGGGCATTTCTGGAGGCTTCTGGAAACCCTGGTCAGCAAGGGGTGGGCTCCTTGGAAGCCTAGGGACTCCAGCTGGTCCTACTCTTGCCATCCTGGCCAAGGAATCTAAGCTTTGGATGATGCTAAGCGCAGCCTCTGTGCAGAATGGTTGGGTGAGGAAGCCTTTTAGCCAGATTGGCATGGAAGCACCCAGTGTTTACAAAGTGCTCTCAACCAATGGACACCAGGGCCTTCCAGGAACCCTGGTAGGCAGACACTTAACAGAAAAGACCAGATGGCCTGGTTGCCAGTTTGGCCCTTTAAAAAATGATGGGGGAGGGGAGAGGGCTCTCCAGGAGATGAGGAGAGTATGTTGGGATCTCTGGCTTTGTCCTCATAGCCAGGCCTTGGTTGGCCCAGGGCCACTGGGGAGGCTGTGGTTCAGAAGAGTCCCTGACACGTGTGAGAAAGCCACAGGTCTGTGCTCACCTGGAAGAACTAGAGAAAGAAATGGAAAGTGGAAGAGAAACTCATTAGCTGGAGTAGGAAGAAGGTGAGCCCCTTGACCACAGTTCCACTTCTCAGAGCTACCCTGCGGCCCCACAACGCCAGCGGGCGCTGGAGGGCCTACACTACTGACTAGGCAGTAGGCTCAGAGAGGGCAGGAGGCTTGGCAGAGGTCACACAGCCCTAGAGCGGCAGCGTCTTCCCTTATTTGGGGTCAAGTTCCCATAGGGATAGGGGCGGTGGGACAGAGGGCAGGAAAGCCTAGGGGAATCGCAGTTGGGGGTGGGGGCAGTGCCTAGATCGCCCTCCCCTTCCAGGACTGGCGCCGCCCCCCACCCCTGCAGCCCGCCCCACTCACTGCCGGTGGACGAGGAGGAGCGGCGCTGTCCGCAGCTGGAGCCCGCGCCCTCCAAAGGCAGAGGCGGTGCAGGGGGCAGCGAACTCTGGGCCTCAGGAAGAGGCGGCGGAGGAGGCGGCGGCGGCGGGGGCAGCTCCTTGGATGCCTTGGGGTCAGCGATGCAGCCGTTGTGTATGTGGTTCCCGGAGAGCAGCGCCGCCTGAGAGGGAGCGGAGGGGCCGGCGAGTGAGCGGCGGGCGGCGCGGCCGGGCTCCGGGAGGTCAGCGGGCGCGGGCTGGCGGGCACGCACCTCTTCGCTGTGCGCCATGCCCGGGAGCGCGGCCAGCGGCTCCCTGGGGCAGCGGCCCAGCTGGCGGTAGTAGTCCCCCGTGCTGGGCTGCTTGCTGATGGCGCGGGGCTTGCGGCAGGAGTCCTGCCTTCGCAGTCCGATGTGGCCGTCTCGGGAACTCTGCTGTGGAGAGAGGGCAGAGTGGGCCTTGGGCACCTGCAGCCAGTTGCCCCTTGCTCCCCTCCCCCAGTTCACCTCCCGCGTGCCTGCTGTCGAGGGGCACAGTGCGCAATGTCCAAGGCCCTCCTGTTCTCAGAGCGGGAATGGGGTGAGGGTCATGGGGGCCTTGGCTGCAGGGCAGGCTCAGCTGAGCAAGTTCTGGCAAGTTCTGGGCTTGGGCCAAGGGGCATAGGTGCCCCCACGGAGGCTAGAAGGGGCGGGCCTAGGGGGCGGGGTGGCCCAGCCCAGATGCAGGGGGAGCTGGAGAAGGGGCAGCGCCCAGCCAGGGCTAGGCCAGCGCTAAGGCCTCAGCCGCACCTCACTCTGGGATGCCGCAGCCGGGCGGAGGGCAGAAGGCTCCACCGGGCCCTCTGCTGCGGGGTCCCGCCCCCAGGGAGCACCTCCTGAGAGCCGGCGCCCTGGGAGGCTCATGCGGGCCCAGGGCTCTCTGCCGCCGGGCCTGGGGCTGCTCCTACCTGCGACCGTGCTGGTAGCCCCCGCTGTGCACCTGGCAGCGGGGGCGGCACAGATCCGACACCTGTGCTACCTGATCCCTCTTCTCAGGTTACAGCCCGGCCTGCGGCCGCCGGTGTGCAACCACCCTATGGGCTCGGTCGGCCTGACATCACCTAGGGACCGCCAATCCCAGGCCAAACCCCACTAGCGGTCGGGCATACCACATGGGACTTCGTCACAACCTGGCCGCTGCGCCCCGCCCGCCCCGCGGGCCAGATGTGCCCTCCGCCTCTGCGCCCCTGAGCCTCGCTCTCAAATGCGTGCTGAGCTCCTGCCTTCATCCCTTACTCCTCCCTTCTGCGGGCCTGAGCTCAAAGGCCGGCAGGTTGCAGAGAGTGGAGCCCCCGTCCCTGGCCCCGACTCCAGGTCGTGCCTCCCCTCCTGCATCTGGAAACCATCGCCATCCGCGTAAGCGACACCGACACCCGCGCTCAAGCCTCAGGTTTCAGGGGCGGCGAGGCGGGCTCGGGTGACAGCTCCGCGGCCCGCCCCGTCGCGGCTGCCCCCTGCTAACCCTAGCGTGGAGAGAGGGATGAGAAGTAGCGAGGCCAGGGGCCGAGTGACCTGGCAGAGACTGTCCCCTGCTCCACCCCCAGGCCATGCGTCCCCGCGGTGGCCTCGGACCCTCTGCGCCCCGCCCGCCCAGGCTCACGTTGCAGGAAACGCGACACCGCGAGATTTATTTTCTGGGCCAGCCCGCCCCCGCGCCCCCTGCGCCCCAGAGGCGCAGAAACCACGACCCTGGTCCCGCCTGCAGCGAGGGCACCGGCGCGGGGGGCGCAGCGGGTGTACAAAGGGCCCTTTGTGGAGCGGCCCCGGCGCCTGCGGCCCGGCACGCACGCACCCGGGAGGGGCTGCGAGCGACACGCAGTGCAGGGCCCCGGCTCAGGGTCGGGGAGGGAGTACAGGCAGGACCAGCTGTCCTGAGGCTTTAGGCAGGGTGCACACGCCGCCAACCCAAGCTGAGGAAGTCCACAGGCCCAGACCCTGGCAGGCCCCGCCTTGGCTCCTCCCCTCTGGGAAATGAAAGAGAAAACCGACGTGAGAGCTTGGTCCGAGGTCTGCTCCGGGACATGTGGGCTGGGGTCCGAGTGGAGATCCAAGCGCTCCCCTCCTGCGACTGGGTCACTTGTGTGAGGTGGTTACGCAGATCTACCCTCAGGTGCTTAGCTTTCTAAAGATCCTAGGGTCCCCATCCCGCCCTTAGCTGACTTCTGGTCACCTCCAATTTGCAGACCGTTCTCTCTCCGACTAGCTTTGTTGGCTTTTTGGCCTGGTCCCTGTCCAGAATTCCCACAGGCTCAGATTAACCCTGTATCCTCTCTCCCCTCCCTCCCAGAGCCTCAACACTCGTCACCGGTCGCTGGGCACTTCCTTCTGGAGGGTCCCACACTGGCCTCACCCCCTGCTCACAGTCTGCTTGTCCCATCTCAGGACTGGCTCCTCAGCGGTACTCCCTCTCTCAGCTCCATGACCAGTGGGCACACAGGCCTGCCAGGTCTCCTTCCACTCTCCTCCACCCCAGACCCACTCCTGCCATTGTCCACTAAGTACAGGGCTGGGACAGGTGTGGCTTCCCAGAGGGGCAGGCCTCTTCTCTTCCTGCTTCCAGCCCTATGACCTGAGCTCGCAAAACAGCATATGTCCCTCCCTCCCACTCTAACTTCCTACTGAGGGTGGAAAGTTTGTCTTACTAACCCCCTGTCCCCTGTCCCAAGCCTGGTAAGGGGCAATGTCCCATGGCGGACTGGCCAGAGGCTGAAGCTCTAGAAGGTGCCATGGGCCTGGGAGCCCTGGCCCTGGCCCCATGATCACAGTCAGCTGAAGACCAAATGCAGTTCTGGAAGGAAGACAGGGTGAGGGTTCAGTACCTCCTTGTGAGCCTCCACATGGCGCAGTTTGTTCTTGGTCTGCACATAGATGTCAGCTGCTTGGAGCCCCACAGGAGGCTTGGGGGCTGGGTAGCCCGGTGGGGGTGGGGGCACTTGAGTGCCTGGGGGTGGGGGTGGTGGGGGAAAGTTGGGTGGTGCTGGAGGTTTGGGCTGCCTCATTTTGCCAGGAGGCAGGCCCAGGTCCGGATTCAGCATGTCCATGTAGGTCTGGATGTCAGCAGCCCTAGTGCTAGAGAACCCTAAGGACAGAGAGACAGAGGGAGGGTGGGTATGAGTGGTAAAGGCCATCCTCTGGGACCTAGACCCCTCACTGTCTAAAAAAAACCCCACTCACCAAGGGGCCAGTGGGCTCAAGGACAATACTGAGTGGGCTCTCTGCGACCCTGGCAGTGCTGTCCGCCCTGCAGTCTTTAGAGGAAGGCTTTGGCTATAAGGTGTGCCTCTGGGGCAGAGCCACCTGGACTTGGGAGGGGCAGCCCTGGGAGGGTGGCAGAGAATAGTGAGGGTTGGCCACACCCGACTTTAGCTGGGTACTTTTGCCCGTCACCACCTGGTGGTGAGAAGCAGGCATTGCAGGGGAATAACCAGCTGTGCCCAGGGCATGGTGCTTCCGCTTCTGCAGGAACATCTTCGCGTTGTGTGTGCAAATGGGAGTGTGTGTACTCGTGTGCACATGTTTGATTGCATTTAGGGGTGTTTGTGTCGCACTGTAGGTATAAGGACTTGTATGTGTGTGCACATCTGTAGTGTGGGATTAGTGTGAAGAGAATGTGTATATCTGTATGACTCCATATATGTGGCTCTTATGGATTGAACCGTGCCCCTTAAAAAGATAGGTGAAGTCCTCATCATTGTGCCTGTGACTAGAACCCTGGGTGAGAACTAGAATTTTTCTTCGGAGATGATCAATTAAGTCACAGTTGTCAGGAGGGGCTGGTCCTCAAAAAAAGACATTATGCTGAGAAAGGTGGAGGACCAGAGAAAGACTCTCAACAAGGTGGATTGACACGGTGACTGTAGCAGTGAGCTGGCGTATGTCAGAGATTGTCAGGATGGTGCAGGTCAGGACAGGGTTCACATCTGTGGCTCATGGGGTCACTATGAGTCATGGTCGACTCGACCACACCTAACAATAACAACAGAGCTGACTAGGTCTTAATCCTAACCCCTTCTGAGTGTGGTTTTAGAAAAAGGAAGAATAGATGAATAGAAGGCACAAATGGGGGACCCAGAGGCTGTGATGTCAAAGGCTGTCCTAAGCCTCGAAGGTTGCCAGCAGCCACCAGAAGCTAGGAGAGAAGCAGGGGAGGGTTTCCCTCGCAAAGTCTCTAGAAGGAACTGGCACTGCCAAAAGCTAAGCTTCTCTTCCTTAAAAAGCCACCCACTTTGTGATTACTTGTTATGGATGCTCCAAGTCACTAGACAGTGAGTGTGTGAGCCTATCTGGATAATAGTGTGTACACAAACGAGCGTGTTCTCTTGAGAGTGGATAGGCTTCTGTAAGATCTGGGAAATCTTTGCATGCACCCCTCCCATGTGTTTGAGACAGTAGGTGACCTGGGCAGCTCTCAGTGAGCCCAAGCCTGGCCTTCTGTCCTGGGGTCCGGCTCTTCCCTTATCCCCAGCCAGACCACTCACCACGTGTAGGGTGCAGACCCTTCAGACTGGAGCGGCTGGAGGGACAGGAGTCATAGTTGGAGAGGGTACTGGTGGGCGAGCTGAGGTCGAAATTCAGAGGCTGGACCGACATGGTGGTGTTGGGTGAGGACATGCCCGAGTCAAGCTGCTTTGGCTCCAGCTCAGCAGATGGGTCCCGGGACAGCACGCGATGCTCCACGCTCTGGGGGTAAAGAAGGGAAGGCAAAGGGCATCCCTGTCACTACATGCTGGCCCCACTCAGGCCTGCCTTTGCTGTGCAACTGCGGCGAACCACACCAATCACTGGGCTCCCTGCCTGTCACTGGAGGGTCTTCCAGGATCTTCACGGGCTGGGATTCAAGCCCAGTTCCCCAGTCACAGAACCAGGGGATTCTGGGAAATTCCCACCCCCTAGCTTCTCCCCATTGGAAGGATTGAGAGATTGATGTAGTGAAGGACCCTGGGCTGGGTCCCAGGTGGTAAACTGCCATTAATACCCCTCTCTTCCTTCTCCAAGGGACAGACAGCCCAGGTTCTGTGGGGAAGAGGTTCCAGCACTACAGCTGGTGAGAAAAATTGCAACAGCTGGGCTAAGGATAGGGGTTCAGTCCCCCCATAGCTTAGAGGAGCCCAGATCCCCCATGGCCTAGCCAGCAACCTTTCATCTCCTCATCTGACCTAGGGCAGCCTTCTGACAGGAGCACAGTTATGTCTCCTCCTGGTGCCATTGGGGAAAGGGTAGAGGACTAGGTGGACCAGCTGATCTGTGCCCAGGTCTAAGCTGCTAAGTCTGCCATCCCCCACAGATATCTGTGCCCTATTGGCAAGCCTGTTCCTCCTGTGGTGGGAATGGGCTGGGGTGGGGGCCCTGCTTACATTGCCCATGGCGGAGTCCCCGCTGCCGGCAAGCTTGCTCTCTCTCTGCTGTCTCCTGCCCAGGCCTGCTCCTCCTTGCCCTGGCCCCCTCCCTGCCTGAGAAGTATCACAGGCCCCTCGGGAGTGGGAAGCAGGCCTGGCACCAGGTAACGGCTTGGCGGCCACGCTCATTGGCCCCGTAATTAGGGGCTCTGTGGGAGTGTTTGCCTTTTCTGGGCCAGTATCCTTCGTGGCTTGGATCTGTCACTGCTGCAGCTGGGCCCGCCTGGGTGAGAGGGTGAGAGCCCCTATGCCCATCCAGCCCAATTCAGGGAGATCAGGTCCTGCTGCCTACTCCATGAATAAAGGTACAGATATAGAACTGAGATTGAGGGGAGTCTAAGGATGTTTTTTTCTTGGCCAAGAGTGGTGGGCACCAGGAAACACCATCCCTGACGTCAGCAGGCCACAGAGAACAGAAGCAAGGGGTTCAAGCTCTGCAACTAGAGGCTTTGAACGTCACTTCCACTGTCTACTAGCTATGTGACCTTGGACAAGTCATTTTTACCCCAGTTCCTCCATTAGTTAATGGGTATAATACTGCCTGCTTCACTGGGTTGTGAAACTTATTTTAGAAATTAGTGAAGGACAAAGTCACGTTACTGTTAGGAATCGTCAGATCAGCTCTACCTCATGGATGACAGAACGAAAGCCTGTCCAATACCACATCGTCCTCATAATCTCTACCACACTTAAGCTCCTTGGTTGCAGTCACTGCATAAATACATTCCACTGAGGGTCTTCTCCTTTGTTGACCCTCCACTTTTCCAAGCAACTGTCCTTCTGCAGGGACAGGCTCTTCCTGATATCATGTACAAGGTATGTGAAAACAAGTCTCACTATTCTCATTTCCAAGGAGCACTTTGACTGCATTTCTTCCAAGACAGATATTTTTTTTCCTTTTTGGAAGTTCATTACTGTACTTAGTATTCCTCCTCAACACCACAATTCAACGATATCAGTTCTTCAGTCTTTCTTATTCGTTGTGGAATTTCACATGTATATGAAGCAGTTGAACACACCATTGTTTGGGTTAGGTGCACCTTAGTCTTGTAAGTGGCATCCTTGCTCTCCAGCACTTTGAACACTTGGCAGCAGACTTGCCCAGTGCATGATATTGTTTGGTTTCTCGACTGCTGCTTCCATGGCATGACTTGCAGATACAAGTAAAAGAAAATCCTTGACAACTTTGCTCTTTTCTCCATCTATCATGATGGCACCTGATCATGACATCCGGTAAATGCCAGATGTGTCAATCATTCCTGTCCATTTATTGTGAATTCACTAAGTGGTGTTTGTGAAATGTGAAGTGCTGCTTCATTTCAGTGAAGTCTGTTAGGAGGGGCCAGAGGGTCCTGGAGTCTGGTGCCACCAATCCCTCAACAGAATCAGCTAAAATGACCTAGCTTTGGCCCAAAAATAGCCTCCACAGTGTCCACCCTGCTTGGATACTTTGGTAAGAAGCTACTTAGTACCTCCTTGGTCACCTTGGTCTCTGCGCAGTAGTTCTGAAGGGAAGTTCTGCCTTGAGTCTCACCATAATCTCTCTCCTAGGTCTCATTGTGGTGTGGAGTTCCCAGAACCAGGGTCAGCCCCACCTGCTCCCAACCCCTCTCATAGCCAGGCTGATGGGCGTCCTTTTGAAGTTGCGAAGAAACCACAGCTCACCATCCTCCACCCACTACCCAAAGCCAAGCGCTTATGGCACGTGGGCCTGGCCCTGGCATGGAGTTGTTCACACAACATCCCAGGCATCATTTCTCAGCTGTCTAACCATAAAACAAAAAAGACTAACATGGGCTTCCAGTTACAAAGCAGCTCTGAAGAACGCAAACTACAATGTAGTGGTTAAGAGAAATGACCCTGCTCAGGTCTGAGCCCAGGACCCATCCAGGGATTGATCATTTAAGAGCTGTGTGACCTCGGGCAGGAGACTTAATTTTCAGAGACTCAGATGCTTGGTCTGTGAAATGGAGACACGAGCATTACCTACCTCAGAGGGTGGCTGAGCTGTGCGTGTGGGTGGGCGGTTTAGGGGTAGCTGGGAGAAGGAACGTGGACGCTCTCATCTGGTATGTAAGGACTTCTACACAGAAGCCCTGCATCTTCTCCCGCCTTAGCGCTTGCTATCAGAAGACTCAGAAGGGCGCTCTTCTGAACTGTTAACTCCACATCCCTATGGCTGAATGGGGGCTTTGGGATGGGGTCGTGGTCAAAGCACTCATTAGTCATAGCAAAGCATAAGAATTTTCACTTCCCTGGATCTCAGCTTTCTCCTCTGAAAAAGGGGTGACAACAACTACCACTGGGGAAGGGTTATACTAGTGGGAGAAGTGCCTGGAAAGTACCATGTTCTCCACGGTGCGCAGGTAGCGGGTGCAGCGGGTGTGGCCATTGAAGTCGGCGAGTTCACAGGCTGTGTACCCGTCCCGGTCCCGGGCATCCAGCAACGCACCGTTGACAACCAGGACCTGGCAGCACTGTGGGGACACGCGATGAGGGGCGGGAGGGGTGTCCCCACGCCAGGGCAGACCGCGCCCCGCGGCGCCCCAGCCTCACCCCTCCCAGCCAAGGCCCCTCGCTCCGCTATCTTGCCCCTTTCCTCCCGCGCCTGGTCCCGACCTCCAGTTCCCCGTTCTCGGCCGCATCGTGCAAGGGGGTCCCGCCCCATATGTCGGCTGAGATTTCGCCGCCGTGCAGCAGGAGCCAGCTGAGCACTTTGGCGTGGCCACGGCTTGCGGCGAAGTGCATGGCGGTGGCGCCGTCCTTGTCCTTCACCGCCAGGCTCAGGTTCGTGCAGCTCGCCTGGGCGGGAGTGGGAGGGGACAGGCGGGAGGGGCTTGGAGGATGCCAGCCCCTCGTGGCCCCGCCCCCGAGCAGGCCCCGCCCCTAGGCTGCCTCTCCTCATACTGGCTCAATGCTGTCCATCTCTGTGCCCGTGCCTCACCAGCCACACGATGATCGGACTGTGGCCCATCTGTGCAGCGGCGTGCAGCGGGGACATGCCGTCGTGAGCGCTCAGGTGTGGGTTCGCACCGCACTCCTGCACCAGGTACTGCGTCACCTCCAGGTGGCCTTCTTGGCATGCCAGGTACAGGGGCGTGGCACCGTTCTTGGTTTGGGCATTCACTCCCCTGCGGAGACACAATCCATGGCCTCTCAGTCCCCTGTGTCCCCTGATCTAGGAGCATGGCCCGGGCCGGGGGGGTCCCAGCTTCCATTATTTCCTGCACTCCCTACTCTTCTCAGCTTTTCTAGGGCTGAGTGATTCCTTTTGTTATACTCCTCTTTCTAAAATGTAAATCTTTGTATAATTTACCCCCACAATCACCACGCATCTCAATATTTTGGACACACATATGTTATTTATATGTTATTCTATGCAGAAGAATGTGGCATCAGGATAGGAGGAAGATTTATTAACAACCTGCATTATGCAAATAACATAACTTTGCTGAAAGTGAGGAGGACTTGGCTGCAGAATAAAAAAGTACAGCCTTCAGTATGGATTACATCTCAATATCAAGAAGATAAAAATCCCAGTGCGGTAACGCGACCGATCCCGGAGAAGCCGACGGGAGCCCCGGGGAGAGTTCTCTTTTCTTTGTGAAGGGCAGGGCGCCCTGGAATGGGTTCGCCCCGAGAGAGGGGCCCGCGCCTTAAATAAAAAAAAAAAAGAAAGAAGATAAAAATCTTCACTACTCTACCTACAGGCAATATCATGACAGATGGAGAAAAGATTGAAATTGCCAACAATTTCATCTTACTTGGATCCACAATCAACATCCTTGGCACCAGCAGTTAAGGGTTCAAAAGAAGTATTGCATTGGCAAGTCTGCTGTCAGGGACCTCTCCAAAGCACTGAGGAGAAATAATAAGTTTAAAGACCAAGGTGTGCCTAGTTCAAGCCATGGTCTTTTCAATCATTTGTTATGCATCTGAGAGCTGGACAATGAGTAAGGACCACAGGAGAAGAATTGATGCCTTTGAGTTGTGGTGTTGGAGAAGAGTAGTGACTATTCCAAGGACTGCTGAAGGAACAACCAGCCAATGGAGGACCTGCATTTGCTGATGTGACTCAACTAAAAATGAAGAGAAACAGCTGCAAATATCCATTAAGAATTGGAACATGGGATATATGAAGTATGAACCTAGAAAAATTGGAAATTGTAAAGAAAATGAAACGGAACACACAAATATCTTAGGCATTAATAGACTAAGAGGGACTGTTACTGATGATCTTGAATCAATCACATAGTCTACTAAATCAGTAATGATAATCGAAGGGTAATGGTGTCACACTCATTGTCATTAAGAACATTTCAGGCTCTAAACTGAAGTGCAATGCTGTCACTGATAATGCCCATGCCTATACTAGGAAGACCTGATGACCATTATTCCAGTTTACACATTAACTACTAAAGCCAAAGATGAAGAGATTGAGGATTTCTACTAGCTTTCCGAAGTCTGAAATGGATTGAATATGCAATAAAGAGGAATTAGTAATAACTGGTGCCATAGCTTGTAAGGTGTTACACTACTGGCTCAGAGGCCATGTTTCTTGGTTGTTCAAATCCCCCAACAGCTCTAAGGGAGAAAGACAAGCTGTCTTCTGTTGCAATTTACAGCCTCAGAGACCCAGTGGACGTTGCTATGAGTCTGAACTGATTTGATCACAGTGTATTATTCATTGAAAACACTTTTTTAAAAAAGATACCTACATGATGACTCTACCTGTGGACCTTGTCTGCTGAAATACAGAGGGATCAAACAGGCAACATCTGTGAAAAGAGATTCCAGAGAGCCTCAGTACCAGCAGTCAGAACAACACCAGAGGCTGACAGAGGAACAGACCATCAATTACTCATATGCAAATGCAAACTGAATTTGAGGGAAATGCAAACAAGTCCATGAGAGCAAAAATACAAACTTGAATATGTCTCACCTACATTTAGAGACCATCTCAAGAAGAGGTTTGCTATCTTGAACATGAATGACTAATATTCAGAGGAGTTGTGGGATGTCAAGAATATAATATAGGGAGATAGCAAAAAGTCATTAAATGTGAAGGAAGCAAAGAAGAGAACTAAATGAATTTCAGAAGAGACTCATACTTTCTCTCGAATGGAGAAAGGCTAAAGTGAATGGGGAAAAACTGATTAGTTAAAAATGCTGAACAGAAGATTTCAAAGGGCAGCTCAAGAAGATAAAGGAAAATGTTATAATGAAACATCCAAAGACTGTTAGAAAACCAGAGGGGAAGAATACACTCAGAATGTCTCAAGTTAAAGAACTAAAGAAAAAAAGAATCAAGCTTCAAGTCACAACACTGAAGGATTCTTTAGGCAAAATCTGAGTGATGCAGGAATCATCAAAAGAAGATGGAAAGAATACATAGTTACTCACCACACCAAGAGAAAGGTGAATAATCAATAGAAAAATGGGCACAGGATATGAACAGACACTTCACCGAAGAAGACATTCAGATGGCTAGCTAACAAGCACATGAAGAGATGTTCAAAATCCCTAGCTCTAAGAGAGATGCAAATCAAAACAACTATGAGATATCATCTCACTCCAGTCAGAATAGCAAAATTTAACAGAACAGCAAGCAACAAATACTGGCGAGGTTGTGGAGAAACTGGAACCCTTATTCACTGTTGGTGGGAGTGTACAATGGTGCAACCATTGTGGAAAATGGTATGGGGCTTTCTGAAAACGTTGCAAATAGAGATACCGTTTGAACCCAGCAATTCCACTACTGGGAATATACCCCAAAAAGACCATAAGTGACATCCAAGCAGATAGATGCACACTCATGTTTATCGTGGTTTTGTTCACAATAGCTAGGAGCTGGAAACAACCTAAGTGCCCATCAATAAACGAATGGATAGAGAAGCTGTGGTATATTCACACAATGGAATACTATGCTGCATTGAAAAACAAGGAACTCATGCAATATTATTCAAAATGTGTGACCCTGGAGGACATTATGCTGAGTGAAGTATCTCAGTCACAAAAGGACAAATACTACATGGTGCCACTGTTGTAAAACAGGACTGACATTGAGGTTGGGGGGAAAGATGGGTTCAATAATGTATACTGCATTGAAACAGATGAGGGAGAAAACTGTTTAAAAGGGATATGTTTTTAGGTATTTTTGTCATGACAGGATTCCATAGCGAAGGCTGATAGTGGAGTGGACCTGGGGGAGGGTTTGTAAAACATGAAAGAATTTTTCTTTTACTTTTCCAAGAGGGTAGTGTACTAGGGGGGAGGGTTGGGAGGAGAGAAAAGTGCAACAATGAATGAATGGAAACCCAAAGTCTCTGTAAATTTTCATTGAAATTAATAATAAATTTTTTTTTGTTTCCTACAGCACCCGGTATTCCCGGGCGGTCTCCCATCCAAGTACTAACCAGGCCTGACCCTGCTTAGCTTCCGAGATCAGACGAGATCGGGTGTGTTCAGGGTGGTATGGCCATAGACTAATAATAAATTTTTAAAAAAGCATACATAGTTACTATATCAGAAAGAGTTTGTTGACACTACATCATTTTAAGAAGTAGCATATGATCAAGAACCAGTGGTATCGGAGGGAAAATTCTAAGGCTCCAAGTATTAACAGAATACCAATTGAGATGTTTCAACAAACAGATGCAATGCTAGATGTGCTCGCTTGCCTATGACAATAAATTTGGAAGACAGATACATTGCAGACTGACTGGAAGGCATATGTGACTATAAAAAAAAGGGATATGGTAGAATGTGGAAATTATCAAACAATATTGTATGCAAGTTAACTCTTGCTGAAGATTGTTTAAAAATTATGAGAGCAGTATATTGATGGGAAACTGCCAGAAATGCAAGCTGGATTCAGAAAAGAAATTGCAACAAAAGACTATCATAGCTAGTGAGCTCTGGTGGCCTAGTGGTAAGACGCTACACTACAATCCCAGAGGTGGTGGTGGTTGTTGTTAAGTGCCATTGAGTCGCAGGCGACTCATAGCGACCCTATGAAGGAGAGTCCTCTACGCTTGGGTGCCTTTCATCCTCTCTCCAGGTTCATAGGGTTTCTGGAGGCAAGCTATTATGGAAGTGGATGCCACTCCCCTTTCCAAGCTTGTTTTAATCGGGGAGGTACATGGTTTGAATCCACCAGATGTTCTGCTGGAGAAGGAAGGGCAATCTCCTCCTGTACCAGTCAGATAGATTTGACGGCACACACACAAAAATAATAAATTAAAAAAGACTATCATAGCTGATGCCTGATAGATCTTGGCAGAGAATTCTAGAAAGATTTTTGTGTGTGTGTTCTATTGATGAAGCAAAGGCATTTGACTGTGAAATAATAATAAATCGCTAGTGACATTTAGAAGAATGGAATTTCAGTACACCTAATTGTGTTCATGTGGAATTTGTACCAAGAAGCAGTTGCTTGGAGAGAACAAGGGAATACTGTATCATTTAAAATCAGGAACAGTGTGTGTCAGAGTTGTAACCAAAGGTGGCACCTTTGGTTGTTCAAATCTGGTAGTTCAAATCAGTGGCTCTGAGGAAGAAAGATGTGAAATCTCCTCCAGTGTGATTTACAGCCTCCAAAATGCCACTGAAGTGTCTACTATGAGTTCTGACTTGATGACAGTAAGGTTTTTTTGTTTTTCTGCTTTACTTTATTTTTAAAGTTTTATGCAATCTGTATGCTGTCCACAATCCAAGAAGCTGGACTATGTTAAAAAGAATGTGTTGTTATGCAGATAATGTCACCTTGCTTGCTGAATGTGAGCAGGACTTAAAAGCACTCACTAAAGATCAGAGTCAAAACCGAGGACTATAAACTTCATCGGAGAAAAGCTTGGAAGAACTCCAGAAGCCCTAATCCACAATATGAACAGTCTTCCAAGTATCTTGAAAAACCTACAACCAGGAGAGAATAAAATTGATAAATAATACCTTCTAAGAATCAAATCCCTATACATATCAAAAAAGAACTTCTCTAACAAGTTAAAAAGGAAAGCCAGAGACTGTAAAAACCCAAAACACCTTTGGTAATGACACATCTGATAAGGGATTCATATCTAAAATTTATAGAGTACTTTAACATCTCAACAAGAAAAAGAGTAGGGGAGCTCTG